GCTGAATTATTGTTGCAAAACTCATCATCAATCACCATCACCATTATTTTAGCCATTGTCAATCCACTGCAGGATGAAGGCCTCTTCTGCATGTTTCCAACCAATACAGTCCTGAGTTTCCTTTTGCCAATTGAGCCTGCAATACTTGCTGATGTCATCAATCCATCTTGTTTTAGGTCATTTTCGTGGATGCTTTTTATCAAATGGGATCCATGTATAGCTGCCTTGGTCTTCTTGTTATGTGACCAGCCCATTTCCATTTCAATTATTTTACTCTCTTGATGATATCATATACTTTCGTTTGTTCTCTAATCCATGTGCAGGTCTTTCTAACTTGTCTTGTAAAGCCAAGCATGTGTATGTATATTACTCCATAAACATTGTAAAATTTCATTTTTAACTGTTTTATTACTATATAAAGTATACATATATTAAATTACAAATGTATATAACATAATATTAATATAATTGGGTTAATAAGTAAGTATCTATGGGAATATTATACCTTAAATATATGCAGTTAATAATGTAGGGTTTTTGGAGTTTTTTAAAAATAAATAAATTATATATTCCAGTTTCAGAGAGCCAGATTTGGTACAATCAGATTTCTATTGATATTGCAGTTTATTTGCTAAGACATTTTTGTTAGTTCTGAAAATCAGGCATAAACTTGCTGGTTGAGGAGAATGCGAATTACAGCCCAACATTACAGAAGGCACCAAACTTGGGAAGGTTTAGCTGGAATACATACAATTTTGGTAACTTTCTTCAAGAGTTATCTTCCTCCCACTCATCACCATAAAGATCTATTGATGGCTAAGTTTATCTTTCCATAAGAATTGAAAAAGTATGAGAAAAGTTGGGTTCAGTTTAAAGTTTTTATCAAGCTTAAAAAGAATTTGTTTATATTCTTTTTTATTGTTCTTATTTTTATCATAAAGATGAGCAACCAATAAATTTGATAAATAAATATTTTTAGCAAAAGCTAGTCAATTTTGCTTTGCTTTGCCTAGTAAATTTAGATCTGCTAATCTAAATTAAATTAATACAGTATGTATCTGTTGACAACAGATAGTCCTCAACTTACAATCACAACTGAGCCCAAAATTTCTGTGGCTAAGCGAATCTGATGTTAATTTTGCCTCATTTTACAACCTTTCTTGCCAGACTTGCTAAATGGATCACTGCAGTTGTTAATAACGTAATAAAGCGAATCTTGCTTCCCCCATTAATTGTGCTTATCAGAAGAACTCAAAAGGTGATCACATGACCCTAGGACACTGCAACCATCATAGTGAATCGATTGCTGAAAATCTAAATGTTGATCATAAGACTATGGAGATGCTACGATGGCCATAAGTGTGAAAAACACTCATAAGGCATTTTTCAGTGCTGTTCTAACTTCAGTCACTAAGTTGAGGACTACCTGCACATTTAAATACAATATAATCTGCAATTTAATAGAGTGCTTTTGCATGAAATATAATACAGTATTTTTTACAGAAAATGCTGTTATGAGTTTTCATGTAAACAATTTTAATCATTCTTAACTGGTTCTTTTATGCAATAGTCAATAAACAGTTTCTTTTGCTTATTAACAGACAATTTAAGACATAAGGTAATTGGGAATATAAGCATTCTTGCCAGCACATCAGTTTATTGGTAGATATTTGAGACAATTGTTAAGAAGCCAATTCAAATGTTCATCTCAGCTACTGAAGAAAAAGATGGAGAAAGTGTCTCAGCAGGAAATCGGTAGTTAGTTGCTCTTGCTGGTTTCTGGAAATACAGTTGCAAAAAAGAAATATAAATTTATTTCTAATATCTATGAGAAAGAAGGATTTGTCTGAGACTAAGCTTGCTCTTTTAAACCATATGATAGCAATATATAACTATGTTATTAGACCTACCACAACTGGATAGTGAAAAGAGACCTTTCTGTCTGTTTGCTGATCTCTTGTGATCATCTGCATTTATGCAACTCAGGTACTTTGCTTAGTTAGGTAATAGTCATAAGTTTAATAAAACAGGGAAAAATCTCTCTCTCTCTCTCTCTCTCTCTCTCTCTCTCTGTGTGTGTGTGTGTGTGTGTGTGTAGAAGACCATTAGCAAGTTCAATCTGGAGACAACCAAAACATGTTTTAATTATTCCCCGTGATTGTAAGAACTGTTCCTCAACAGTCACCATTCCCAACAATAGTCTGGCAAATTATATCCTATGATGATAATGGGTTCTATCTATCTATCTATCTATCTATCTATCTATCTATCTATCTATCTATCTATCTATCTATCTAGTCAAGTGATTATAAGATAACAGGTATAAGTATAAACATAGTTATGAATATATGAAATAGATACATATAAGAAAAATAAAAAGAAGCAATAGGACAGGGACAGTAGGCACGTTGGTGTGCTTATGCACGCCCCCTAGGTCATCATGAGGAAACCTTCCTTTCAAATTAAAAAGGAGCAAGTTCACTTCTATATATTGTAGACCTGGTGGAAATGTAGCCTAATCTTCTTTAGAAAATTATGAAATCTAAACATAGATATTTTGCTGCTGCTAGCATGAAAATAGTAGGAAAAATATACTGTATATCATACTTTCTTGTTATTTTACTTGCCTTCAATTTTGGGGTGGGGGGGTGGAGGGGTGGAGTTGGAATGACATCTTCAAAAAAACTAACAACATGAAGTTTATTAACAAATGTAAAATTGTAATTTAATGTAGACTAATTTATCTGTATTGATTCTGATAATTGATAGGTATTAGTTAATGTACTAATACATTATTGTCATCTTTGTTTAGCTAAAGTATTTCTAGCTAATTCTTTAGCTAAAAAGACTCTTAGACAGCTTATATATGACAATAAGACAGTCTCAGCTTTCAGATTTACAGTCTAAAAATATGGAAAAGGAGAAAACAGAAATCAAAACAGAAGTATGTATCTATTTACATGTAATTAATAACTATGATAGGAATACTGTACAATAGTGATTAATTGCACTGAATTCTAATCTTGAGTTCTAATCCTGTCTTAGACATAAAGCCAATTTGGTGACTTTGGGCCAGTCATTCGCTTTCAGCCCTAAGAAAAAGGAAACAATGGGAAATCCCTTCTGAAAATTTTTGTCAAAAAACTGCAGGACTTGATCAGGCGTCATATAGGCCACTTCTATGTAGAAATGCCCTAACAGTACTATTGAGTGACAAATTGTTGAATTCCCTTTCATTAAAAGTTTTCCAACAATAACAGAGGGCCTCAACGACACCAAAATTAAGCACAATAGGGAACAAACAGCTTCTAAAAAAATGACTCCATATATGAACCTAAAGAAGAAAACCAATACACCCAAATTGAACACAATAGAGAACAAACTGCTTCCATAAAAATGACCCTATATATAAACCTAAAGAGAAAGAGAGATAGAAACACGTCAATTTTAGAGGAAAACAACAACCAAGAGCAAAGCCCCTTCTGTCTACCCAGCTGAATGAACTCTTCTGCAACTGAACAATCATTTTCATAGTTCCCCCTGGAAGAAAATATGCAGACATCTATAAAAGAGGAGTCATCAATAGTCATTTCTAAAAAAGAGGCACAACCCAGCATTCCTATGATAGGAACAAAAATATCCCATACTTCCCTATGGAAAAAAGCAAATATTGGTGATAGGAGGTTCAATTCTTAGGGAACAGAAACTATAGTCTGCAGACCGGACAGTCAATCTAGGCAGATATGTTGTCCCTGGAGCAAAAATGTAATTGAGAGCCATACTAAGAGAATCAACCCCACGGATTACTACCCTTTCTTTCCCTATACATGGGGACAGATGACACAATGAACTTGAAAACAATAACAAGATGTAACAAACAGCTAGGAAAAAACTTAAGGAATTAGGCATTCCAGTGGCATTTTCATCTACAGGTAGTCCTCAAGTTACAAATGTAATGGAGCCTGCCTGTTCTATTCATAACCCAAGGATTTGTAGGAATGAATGGTGTACCTTGAACACGGTCACTCTCTCCTTTCACTGATAATCGAATGTATGGGTTGCTAACTGCACATGAGATATCTCAGGATGGGGAAGGCCATAAGTGATGGAACAGGCCACCTGCTTCAGACCATCCAAGGCCTCCCCTGACCCACTGAGATACCTCATTCTTCCTTCCTTGGGGTCCCTACAATTGTTCCCCCCAAATCCTGCCGGGCTGGATCACTTAGGTCCTAATTCCAAGCATATACCACTAGATAACCAATCAAATAAGGAGGTAAGTAGTAAAGAAAAGAAAAACTCAAATGCAAAGTAGGAGATGTAGGAAGTATATCCAGGGTCAACTTAAATGCCTATAAACTAATGCCCAAAGTTCAGGGGAAAAAGCAGGGTGAATTTAAGGGCAAGTATGATATAGTTGCCATTACAGAAACTTGGTGGGATGAAACTCATGACTGGACTGTATTGATAGAAGGATACAAACTATTCAAAAGAAACAGACCTAACAAAAGAGGAGGTGGAGTTGCATTATATGTTACCGATCACTTCCTCACTACAGACATGCACATAACAAAGGATGAAAGCCTTCTGGAATGCATATGGATCAACATAAAAGGAAAAAAAATGTCATTGCCATAAGTGCATACTGTAGGCCACTCAACCAAGCAGAAGAAATAAAGGAACCTTTTGCTAATCAGTTAATTAAATATATGTAGGAAACTCACCACACAATAAGGATCTAATTAAATTAATTATTTACAGAACTGAAAAGTGATAATGGCAGATGTCTTAAAACAGAGAAGATTCATCCTTTTGGTTAGGATGAATTGCTAGCTATTCAAATTAGGGTGCAATTAAGGGTCACTTTTTTGTCTTTGACATGGTTCCAATCAAAATTGAAAAACAGAATTCAATCCTGAGTGAACAAATTTCATTCTACACACACTGCATATTTCATAAGTCTATACGCTTTGATCCCTATCCAAATTAGACCACATACATTATCTGCTTTCTGTTGGAAAAATGCATTCAGTTATACGTAACTTTATTGAAGTATCTACTGAGCTGAAAGATGGTTTGAGGATTTCATTATGTTTTTGATGTTCTAAAGAAAAATCCAAAGCAATATAAAATGGTTGTAGGCATGAAACCCCCCTCACCCCAAATATGGTCTTTCTGAGTACATAAATAACAGTTCCTTGCTTTCATCAAAGCTTTGAATCCTTGCTCTGGAGAGAAAGTTGTGACTTTCAACAGGCTAAATGTCTGTCTTTGACACTAATTCATCTCCTTCATGATAGAATGAATAATTACCATTCCAGGATGAAACTGCTGATTTATTCATGATGGTCAGGCTCGAAGATGGTATCCACTCTTCTTCTGTTTCTTGTCCATACCAGACTTCAGCATCATCAAACCATCTACAAGAAAAAAACATATATCATTGGAATAAAGAAACATTGAAATCAGAAACATTTTTCTCCACTTTGGGCTGCCAGCTCTTTGTTTCATTGGTAGTGGTAGTCTTTTCATCTCTTAAATAACCCAAAATAAACATTGTCCCCTTATATTGCTCGGAAAATGTTCAGGTATTCCAAATTATTAAATCATCTTCTGTCAAATGGACTTTGGTCCATTTTCAACCTTACCATTTTCAACCTTAACTTCTTACCTCTTCTTAGATTTCTTCTGCTTGTTTCTGATGAGGAATACAGTCAGGATGGTACTGACCACAAAAAGCACAGACAGGGCAAGACCAAGGCCCAGGGCAGTCTTTTGGACAGGCATTTGGCAGGAACTATCCAGGTACCAGAACACATCGGAATTATTGCAACTATGAAAAAGAGAAAAATTTATAAAGAAGGCTACCTACTTCAGAAGGTTCTGAGTAGCTCCCAAAATCAAAACTTCATTGAAAAATTATAAAATTAAAATAATTAAACATGAAAACATAAAAGCCAACTAATATAATACCAGTAGGCATTAAACCACAATTTTCAGGATCTATGCTGATGTCAAATTTCTGCAACCTATCTTCTAGTGTCTTAGGAAGGAGCCATCCTAACTTTTCAGGATAGAAAAACAGAATTCCAGAGTTGAGATAGCTATGGAAAAAGCTTCCAGTTTTTCTGTCAGCACCCAGGCCATCTAGAGAGAGCAACTCAAACCAGATACATTTCCATGGAGTGCATAGATTGGGAAAAGTCTGCTTTGAGGAAATAGGCTTGCAGAAATTGAGGAACCAGACATAAACAGCTTTGTAGGTAACAACAAAGTACCCAGTACTGGGAATCAAAGCAAGGTTTGCGAGCTGTGTAGTATTCTACTAAAATAAATTGGACACACCAGAAAGCATTGCATTGCATTAACTTGTTATGACAGTCTGCTGATACATGAAGATTGGAGAATTAGTGACACCATTGTTATTGCACAGTGGAAGCAGAACTTTGAGTTTATACCAAACTTTGGTTAGGCCGGTTCTTAATTTTATGTCTTCACTGTTCTGGGAATCTCTTGTGTTGAACCATGAAATTCTCTTGAGTCTGCATACATGGAGAAGCCATTTGGAAGCAATTTCTTTCAGGACTTTCATCAAATTCTTCTTAGGGAACTCAGAGTCACCGTGGAACTACCTTCGTGGTTATTCGGAAACTTTCCAAATTTCTGTTGGAAATCAATAGATCCCTAGGGAGATCATACTAATTGATCTTCTGCACCAGTTGGTTTTGGTGGGGAGTTTCCATGTAATTAGAAAGTAATCTGTCCATGTCATAAAGTGACATAAATTGTATCCATACATGGGTTATAAAAAAATTCTCCAAAGTAAAAACCAGAACAAGTTTCTAGCTATTTGCATGATTGTCAATGCAGCAATGAATTTCTGAGCAACTTTAACTTAACCTCTAAAGAAATAAAGACTAAAACCCTCCAAGGTGATCAAATTCCAAATCCTTGCATAGATCAGGGGAAGACAACATTTAAAATTTTCTTGAAGTTGTCTCATTTTAAAATGTAGGGAATTTCACGTTTCTCCTCCATTCCTAAATATTGCAATCCCTTAAATTACTCAGCCCTTGTAGGCTATATGGTGGATTCAGTACTCCAAGAGAGTTGGAGTCCTTTGGGACCAACCAAACTATATCATGATTTCTTTCATTATATATAGTTTGGCATTCCAAATAGGTCATTTTATCTGCTTTTCTCATTTTCTTCATTTTTCTTAAAATTCTACAAGTTGAATATATTTTGAAAATTACATTATAACAGCTGTGGCATGAAATGTATAGAAAATGTGGGATTCTATAGGCAGAAAAATTTAGGAAGGTGGAAGAGTATCCTATTAGAACTAGTAACTAATGAAGATTTAAGTAGTTGGTGGGTTGTAGAATCTAAGGATTCCTTTGATACTCCTCCTCCTGTTTACTTACATGCAGTGGGGGCCTATCTCAGAGACTTGGCAAACACCATTGAAGCAGTTCATGTAATCTTGAGCGCCTTTGAAACATCTTGAGACACAGCGCACAGTACCCTCAATTATGTGGGGATAATAGTAATCTGCATACTTCGGATCAGTAATATTTTCACAGGTGCCTGGGGAAAAAAAGAGGTGCTAAATATATAATGAAATATGGGCAATACATGTAGGTCAAATGAACAAACTGTACTGCAACAAACTATGAGCTGATGATTGAAATGCACCAAATTTGCTCAGACATAGCAAGACCATCCTGTTCCTACACCAACTGCCCCATGTAGAGTACAAAACCAGTTTTGAAAAATATCCTTCCATGGTAGATCATAAAAGATAGTAAGGTGAGCAAGAATGAGTTGTCATTATGATACTACAACTTCAGAGATAGAGAGGGGGGAGGGAGGGGGAGAGAGAGAAAGAGAGAGAGGGAGGGAGAGGGAGAGAGAAAGAATTGAGATTGTAAGAACTGAAATAATTTATAGGTAGGACAGCTCTGCAAAGAAGCACTAAAATTCTATTACAAAACAGATGTGGGCGCTAAAAACTCATCTTTTCCATCTTTCTTTGGCCTCTTCCTCCTGTCTTTTTAACCACAGCATAAGTGTGTCATAGACTCATAGTGTATCTTTAGCTTTTTTTCTTTCAGTTTCTGTGCTATTTATAGTATAATACAGTATTCACTTATGGCCAAGTTGTGTTTTAGCTAAAAAAAACACCAAGCCCCTTTTATATTTTCTTCGTTCTTGTTCCTCAACTTTGAATTTTCCACTCATTTTTCCATTATTATTCAAATATGTCCTCAATATTTCTGAATTTTTCTCCATTTGTTAAGAAATACTTAATAATTATACTACTTTCTCTATTCCCAATCTGCTGCAATTAAACTTGCCCTTAGCTATTCCAGTTTTAAGATGTGTTTTCTGCAAGCACATTTTACTACAGGTAGCATCTGATACACTCCATCAACAAAGTGGCTGCTGAGATGCCTTCTTCTCTCTGGGGCTGAGCACCATTTCCATGTTATTTTGGCTTGAGCTGTGAGAGAGGCAACTCACTGGCTTCCTCAGAGTCATCTGCCTTCAGGATGCTCATTGGTATTTTCCAAAGTTGGTAAGTGGTTGATGTGGACAAGTGGCATCCTTGAACAATATACTGAACCAATGTTGCCAAACTTATTCACTGCCCTCTTGGGATGCTGCACAGAAAGTCAATTTAAGTGGGAAAATAAAATAAAATTCTGCCTGCTTTGTATTGCTGTTGCTTTAGCACTCTTGTGAACATTATATATATATTTTAAATCAATTTTTGGCAGTAAATAGTTTCACATAGGCATCAATTTTACCTTTTTATTTCAGTGGAAGAACAAGAAGATACACAGGGAGAGCTACACCCTATATCTCTAACACATCTACCCAACTGTTTACTGAAACTTACCATTGAATGAATAACTTGAATTAATAATTAAGTTAGGTAAAGGAACAAAGCATAGGTCTGGTCCTGAAAAAAAAAATTGTATGAATTAGTTATTTGGGGTGGTTGTATAACTATATATTTTCTTCAAGATTCTTCTGCATTTAAAAACATTGTGATATTAAATAGAAACCATTGCACCAAAATAATTATCCTTTTGAAGTAATCTGGGGAAAATAAATCATCAAATGATATGTCAAACATTCATCAGTGTCTAAATTTAAGGTTTTAAAAAGTCTTTTGTTGCCTGACAAGAGTCCCAGTTTCCCAGGCTTCAATCATTTACAAAGCTATCTTTGTAGCTGCATGGCCAACAATTTTAGTAGGTTCGAAATTGAATGTATGTCTTTGTTCATTGCACTGTGAGGGTACCAATGAGTACAAGTCTCCTTGTCTGACCACTCGCTTGCATTCTTGCAATCTGGTGGTTAGCTTCCTCCCTGTCTGTCCTAAATCATTGCACATTATATGGCAGGGTGACAACCCACTTTAGTACCCAGAAAGCTAAACAATTGGAGAGGAGGGACCTACATGAACAATTCAGGCAGAATGGGTACCTAACAAGCATTTTTTTTAGAAGTGCCTGGGCAGCATGCAAAGGAGAGAAAGGAAAAAAGAAGGTACAAGGCCAGTTAGTTGGCACACCCTGCCATACATCAAAAACATTTCAGAAGCAGCAGAACACAGCTGCTGAGATTTACAAGTGGGATTATACACTGTCCAGAGGCTACCATATGAGAACAAATCCTACATTGCAAAGATCTCTTGGAGGTGAGATATACTTCTAATGTAATCTACTGGATCCCCTGCATGGATTGCCCCTGTGACTATGGAGGACAGATGCGAAATAAGTAAGAATACAAGTAAGCAGTCAGATGAGGATGCCAAACTCATGGATAGCCTTACATTGCAATGAACAATGACATACATTCAAGTTCAAAGCTACTAAGATTGTTGGCCATGCAGCTACAAAGATAGCCAGATAAATGATTGAAGTCTGGGAAATGGGCCTCTTGTCACTCAACAGAAGGACTGATTTACCACTAGCTTATCAGGTACTTAAGAACCAAGGGCTTGGCAGCACAAGGAAACAACAGCCAATCACATGCTATCAGCACACCAGTCAACCAACAGGAAGACAACAACACATAAATGTGATCCATAAAATAGCCCAAAGCACATATTCTGGTAAGGGAAGATCCCTGTGGATGGGCTCCAGCATGAATCTGAAAGCTTGGAAGAGTGGCCCCAGTGGCCGATCCACATTGGATCCTGCAACATTATCCAGGCATACTTATATTTGCCTTCATTCAGGAAAATAATATGTGTTTGCCACCATCTAGTGGCTATTTTAGATAAGACGAGCCCCTCAGATCAGCAGGTGTCCAATATGCTACTGGGGAAGAGCAGAGGGCTAGTACTACTAGCGCCAGAAAGAATGAAGTGACTGGGCCAAAGCTGAAAGAACACTCAGCTGTGGATGTATCTGGTGGCGAAAGGAAGATCTGATGCTGTAAAGATCTATACTCCATGGGAACCTGGAATGTAAGATCCATGAATCAAGGCAAGCTGGATGTGGTCAAACAAGAGATGACAAGACTTGACATCTTAGGAATCAGAGAACTAAAATGGACAGGAATGGGTGAATTTAATTCAGATGACCATCAGGTATATTACTGCATGCAAGAATCCTCCAGAAGAAAGGGAGTAGTCATAGTCAATAAAAGAATAGGAAAAACAGTACTAGGATACAATCCCCAAAATGACAGAATGATCTCAGTTCAAATTGAAAGCAAACCATTCAACATTACAGTAGTCCAAGTGTATGCCCCAACCACTGGTGCTGAAGAGGCTGAAGTTGACCAGTACTATGAAGCCCTACAATACCTTCTAGAATTAACACCAAAAAATGATGTCCTTATCATCATGGGGGATTGGAATGCTAAAATAGGAAGCCAAAAGATAACTGGAATAAGAAGCAAGTTTAACCTTGGAGTACAAAATGAAGCAGGGAACAGGATGGTAAAATTTTGTCAAGAGAATACAATGGTCACAGCAAACACTCTTTTCCAACAACCCAAGATGACTCTACATATGGACATCACCAAATGGTCAACATAGAAATCAGATTGACTATGTGCTCTGCAGCCAAAGATGGAGAAGCTCTATACAGTCAGTAAAAACAAGACCAGACTATAGCTCAGATCATGAGCTTCTCATTGCAAAATTTAGGCTTAAATTGAAGAAAGTAGGGGAAAGCACTAGGCCACTCAGGTATGAACTAAATCATATCCCTGATGAATATACAGTAGGGGTGACAAATAGATTTAAGGAATTAGATCTGATAGACAGAGTGCCTGAAGAACTATGGACGGAGGTTCACAACATTGAACAAGAGGTAGCAACTAAAACCATCACAAGAAAAAGAAATGCAAGAAAGGAAAATGGCTGTCTGAGGAAAATGGCTGAGGAAAGAAGGGAAGCAAAAGGGAGAAAGAGAAAGCTAATCCAATTGAATGCAGAATTCGAGAGAATAGCTAGACGAGATAAGAATGCCTTCTTAAATGAACAGTGCAAAGAAATAGAAGAAAACAATAGAATAGGGAGGACCAGAGATATCTTCAAGAAAATTGGAGATATGAAGGGAACGTTTCATGCAAAGATGGGCATGGTAAAGGACCAAAATGGCATGGACCTAACAGAGGCAGAAGAGATTAAAAAGAGGTGGAAAAATTACATAGAAGAACTATACAAGAACAAGCTTAACATCCCTGATAACCATGATGGGGTGGTCACTGACCACGAGCCAGACATCCTGGAATGTGAAGTTAAATGGGCCTGAAGCACTCTGAGCAACAACAAAGCGAGTGGAGGTGACAATATTCCAGCTGAGCTATTCAAAATCTTAAAAGACGATACAGTAAAAGTGCTACACTCAATTTGCCATCAAATTTGGAAAACTCAACAGTGGCCACAGGATTGTAAAAAGTCAGTTTACATTCCAATTCCAAAGAAGGGCAATGCCAAAGAATGTTCAAACTACCGCACCATTGCACTCATTTCACATGCTAGCAAAATTATGCTCAAAATCCTACAAGCTAGGCTCCAGCAGTATGTGGACCAAGGACTACCAGAAGTACAGGCAGGATTTTGAAGAGGCAGAGGAACTAGAGATCAAATTGCCAAAATACTCTAGATCATGGAGAAAGCTAGGAAGTTCCAGAAAAACATCTACTTCTGCTTCATTGACTATGCTAAAGCCTTTGATTGTGTGGATCACAAAAAATTGTGGCAAGTATTTAAAGAAATGGGAGTACCAGACCTTCTTATATGTCTCTTGAGAAACCTATATGTGGGTCAAAAAGCAATAGTGAGAACTGGACATGGAACCACTGATTGGTTCAAAATTGAGAAAGGAATTCAGCAAGGCTGTATATTGTTGTCCTGACTATCTAACTTATATTCAGAGCACATCATGAGAAAGGCGGGGCTAGATGAATCACAAGTTGGAATTAAGATTGCCGGGAGAAATATCAAAACCTCAGATACCACCCTAATGGCAGAAAGTGAAGAGGAAGTAAAGAGCCTCTTGATGTGAGTGAAGGAGGAGAGTGCAAAAGTTGGCTTGAAACGCAACATTAAGAAAAACTAAGATCATAGCATCCAGCCCTCTCAATTCCTGGCAAATAGATGGGGAAGAAATGTAGGTAGTGACAGATTTTATTTTCCTGGGCTCCAAGATCACTGCAGATGTGAACTACAGCCAAGAAATCAAAATACATTTGCTCCTGGGGAGAAAAGCTATGGCAAATCTAGACAGCATGCCAAAAAGCAGAGACATTGCCAACAAAAGTGTGTATAGTTAAGGCTATGGTTTTCCCAGTGCAATGTATAGCTGTGAAAGTTGGACCAAAAGGAATGTTGAGCACCAAAGAATTGAGGCGTTTGAACTATGGTTCAAGCTGGAGAAGACTCCTGCGAGTCCCTTGGACTGCAAGGTGATCAAACCGGCCAGTCCTAGAGGAGATCAACCCTGACCATTCTTTAGAAGGCCAGATCTTGAAGATGCAACTCAAATACTTTGGCCACCTAATGAGAAGGAAAGACTCACCGGAGAAGAGTCTAATGCTGGGAACAATTGAAGGCAAAAGAAGAAGGGGTCAGCAGAGAAGGAGGTGTCTGGATGGAGTCACTGAAGCAGTCAGCATGAACTTAAATGGACTCTGGAGGATGATAGAGGACAGAAAGGCCTGGAGGAACATTTCCCAAGGGCTCATGATGGGTTGGACATGACTTTGCGACTAACAACAACAAACGTGGCTATTTTGAGATTTGCAGCACAGATATGGTACCTTGCTCTACCCCACATTATTACATTTTGTGGCAAGGGGTAAGCCACCCAAAAGTATGTTTGATCCTGCAGAAAAAAGGTGATTTATTCTAAAAACACTCTTGCCTAAAAGAACAAGTAGCCAGGAATCTTGCTTATTTGTCAGTCAAAGGAAATCACATTCAAGCAGAAGAGTTTACCAAGCTAGAGCATACCTGAATCCCTGGCACAATGCTCATCACTTTGGATTTCTGCCAAGGAATTCCTCACTCCCTCTGTAATATTTGCCATCTGCTGCTGGATCATTTTCTCATTATTCTCTATTTGTGCTTGGAAGATGACTTTGTGGTCCACAATAATACTGCCATTCCTAAGAGAACAAGTGAAGGAAGAACAATTCCTCAGATGCTGAATGCCCCTTATTGCTCCATGAATGTATGCTAAAGACTGTGATAGCCCACCCTTTTCCTCCATCAAATGCAAAATGAACTAGTACTTGTACTCCATTTCTACTCCATTTAATCCACACAACAGTTTTCTGAGAGAGCTTAAAATAAGTTTCAGACTACGCCAAAGTTCCTCTGGAAGTTTGACAACTGAGTGGGATTTCAACCTGGACTTTAGTCTAATTCTGACTGCTTTAACTTGCAAGAACACTTTTCACCCTGCTCAGATGCTTCCTGAAACATATGGTGACTGAAAGTATATTAGGTATTGCATACAAAATTATACGCAGTAATGTTTTACCTGTAAATGACTTTTTTGTTTTAATCGCAATAATATGCGAGTTAACAACCACTTTAAACTCAATGTAAATCGTTCTAAACTTGACCGTAAAAAAATATGATTTCTGTAATAGAGTTGTCAATGTCTGGAATGCTCTACCCGATTCAGTTGTTTCGGCTACAAATTTTCAGTTTCAGTCACAAATTGACTTCTGTGGACGTTACATCATACTTAAGTGGTTAGTAGAGGGGGCGTGCATAAGTGCACTAATGTGCCTATTGTCCCTGTCATTGTATTTTTATTCTTTTATTCTTGTTTTTGTTTTTCTTTGACAAAATCTAACAAACAAACAAACAAACAAATAAATAAATAAATAAGAAAGACATGCTCAGGCCCTGGTCTATCCATTTTGTTAAAAAAAAGAAATCTAAAGAGGAGTTACTTCTACTCATATTCAAGATCACTTGTTGGCTTATCATCCCAAAGCATAATTTAGTCTCTTTTTAGACACCGACCTCATTCCAAAGATCTCCACATCAAGGTATCCAGGGACAGCACTATAAACATCTTTCATCTACAAGGAAGAAAAAGTAAAAGAAAGCCTTCATAAACAAAGAAACTTTAATTAGAAGCCAGCCTCCTAAAGCACTGAGTGTGTGGTGTGTGCTGTATCTTGTCTAATTCTCCAGCTGCAAAAAGCTGATAATCCAAGAAGTGAGTTTCATATTTATACATTTTTCTTTAACATATGTAAGTGCTTAGTAAGCAGTGTATTGTCTCAGTCAATTTACAAATATATAGTGATAACATAGTAATAACAGTAATAACATTCTTTACTTATACTGTATATAGCGATATTCTTCCAATTTCCAATTTCTACCTTTATTATCTAACCAATGGTAAAACAAATCTCAAGTTAAAAAGTATTTTGTGACTTCTCTGCCCTTTATCTCTAATCTATCCATTTCTGCACAGTCTAATATTTTTCTGATTATACAGTATTTTCCTCTGCAGGGATTTCCTCATTTTCCCAATGTTGTGCAATACAATTCTCGCTCCTGTCAAAACATGTAATATTTTTTCATTTTTTATCCTTTTTATCATTTTTTTCTGGCAGTATACCTAACAAAAATATTTCTGGTTTTAAGTCTATATGTTGTTTTATCATTTTTTCTAGCCATGTATGTATTTTGATCCATTTTTTTTTTTTTTTGCCTTTGGACATGTCCATCACAGTGATGGGATTCAAAAACTTTTACCACCGGTTCAATGGGTGTGGCTTGGTGGGCGTGCTTTGCGCGCATGCACACACTTTGCATGCACATGTGTGCCAAACACGTACTTTCTTTTGTTTGCACTGTTCAAACTCACCTCCTGTAAGCCTGCATTCTCCCGGTTGCTTCAGCAGCTGCCACATGGCACCTTTTGTGCCGTGCAAAGCAGCTGTGCTTCAAATTCAGAGGATAAAGGTGAGTATGGAAGCCCAGGTGGGCAGATGGGCCCAACAGTGGAGAGAACCAGTTTAGTCTCCACTGCTCATCACCGCTACTGGCTCGGCAGAACCAGGCTGAACTGGTAGCATACCACCATTGGTCCATCACACATGGTAATAAGAGCCTGGCGTGTAGTTACATTTCCCACATTTGGTGGACATGTTTTTAAAGATCTTTGCTAGTCTTGCCGGTGGCAAATGCCACCTGTAAAACATTTTCCTTGTACGTAGTTGCCATTGTCAATTTATAATTGCTATATCAGAGTTTTTGCTACTTGTCTAATTCTATTGTATATCCAAAGTTTTTTGTTCATACTATTATTGTTTCTTTCACTTGTTCATCTTTCATTTTAAGGCTTAAGAAATAACTATATATTTTTCAATTTTTCATCTGTTCCTAATAGTATCCGATCAAGTGGTGTTTATTCTTTATAAAAACCATATATTTTAACATCTTCCACATATCTTGATTGTATTTGCAAATGGTCTACATTCAGCAGGTTCTGACCAGTTTTGGAGAATTGGTAGTGGAAATTTTGAGTAGTTTGGAGAACCGGCAAATACCACCTCTGCCTGGAGATTTTACAGTATTCTTCCCCTGCCATGCCCACCAAGCCATGCCCACAGAACCGGTAGTAAAAAAATTTGAATCCCACCACTGGTCCACACCTTCGTTTTGTAGTTCCTGTTTAGTTTAAAGTTCCCCTTTCTCATTTAAAGTATCTTTATACATTACAATTTGTTTCCAAATTTACAACATTTGGACATGTCACTGCTTCCATTGCAGAAAGACAGACTGGAATTTTCATATTGTGGGAAGTGTATTCATTTTATGACTCAAAACTCAAGATGAAAAAGGGAGGTTTTTCTTTTGAAGTAAGGAAATGCAGTATCAAACACTGATTAGAATGTTGACTGATCTTGGAATGTTTTTGAAGTGCTGGGAACTATCACACATTTTGGAATGCTTTTGAAATGCCAGATAAGTAAGGAAGTATCTGTTACAGCTAGGTACCATGAAAGATAATAAAATGTAACTTGTATCCTGAAAGATAGATTGTAAATCAAGCCATTTGTATACTGGGAGGGGGTAGTAGTAGGGGGTAGTTTTGGGTATAAGAGTAGAGCCTTTAAGCTTTGCCTTTTGTTCCTCCCACCTGCCAGGGCAGGAACCCGTTTCTGCAGAAATGTTACAATAAAACCTTTTTCCTTGGATCAACTTTGAATCTTGGTGGTTTTTCTTAGCCACAATCTCACAATATAATTTTTTGCTTTAACTTTTTTCCATATCAAGACTAGATAAAGTCTTTGAAAGCATTATTTTTTCCATACCACAAAAAGACATGCTATCACACTTAGAGGTCCTGTCCCTCCAGCACTAACAATCTTCTATTTTTCAAATTTATCCCATGTTAGTGCAGAGGCCTGGTAATAAAGCTCCCAATCCGGCAGTCCAAAGCCCCCATTCTTCCTTGAGTCTTGTAACATTTTCAATCGTATTCTCACTCTTTTCCCTTGCGAAACATATTTCAAAATTATTGCATTTAATTCATCAAAGTATTTTCCCCCCTAGTTTTATAGGAATCGTTTGAAACAGAAACAGTAGTTTCCTCAGAATATTCATTTTTATAGTTGCTATTCTTCCTATCAGTGACAATTGCAAATGTTTCCAATTCTCCAGGTCAAGTTTAATTTGTTATATTAACCTTATATAGTTATCTTCTTTAATAGTTGCACATCCAGCTGTTAAATACATTCCCAAATATTTTACTTTTAACTACCTGAGGGCCTATTTTCTTTGTCAGTTAATTTTTCTGTCTATTTGTAAGGTTTTTAGCTAATATTTTTGTTTTTCTTTATTTATTCTTGCCCTGCTACTTCTTCATACTCCTCAATTTTTCTATTAATTTAGGGCGGATTCCAATGGTTCTTCTAAAATAAATACCAGGTCATCTGCAAATGCTTTAATTTGTATTTTTCTCTTTTTATTTCCAAGCCTTTTATTTCTGGATCCTGTCTAATACCTCTATTTAATACTTTCAATGTTAATATAAATAGTAATGGGGACGGTGGACATCCTAGTCTCGTGACTTTTTTTATGTTAAAGTTTGCTGTCAAGTCCCCATTCACTATCACTTTTGCCATTTGTTTGGAGTATATTGTCTTAATCATGTTCATAAACTTCTCACCACAATCCATACACTCTAACTGTTGTGACATGAATTGCCAATTTACATTATCAAATGTTTTCTGCGCATTTAAAAAAATCAATGTCATCTGTTTATCAGTGTGTTTCATAATATTCCAACATATCTAAGATAACTCTTATATTGTTCTTAATTTGTCTGTTGGGTAAAAATCCATTTTGATCTGAATGGATAAATTCATTCAAAAATCTTTTCAGTCTTTCTGCTATTACTGATGCAAATATTATATAATCTGAGTTTAATAGTGATATAGACTGATATCTGTGTTAAATCTGAGTCTTCTTTCAGTATTAATGTAATATTTGCTTCTTTCCATAAGTTTAACAACTTCCAGTAATACTTCATTATAAACCTCTAGCATTGACAAATTCAATATATCATGAAGATATTTGTACACTTCTGCTGGTAGTCAATCTGGTCCTGGTGATTTTTAAAAATTCTTTTGTCTATTTATTGCCTCTGTTAATTCCATCATCGTTATTCTTTCATTTAACATTGCTCTCACATTTTCAAACATTTTTTGGTAATTTAGCCTTCTCTAGATATTGTTTTATCTTTTCCTCTGAAATTTTTTCTTGATCATATAATTTCCCATAGAACTCCTGAATTATTTCCTTTTTGGACTCATTTTCATATTGGAAAGTTCCTCTCTCATCTTCTAGTTTATTTATCAGTTTCTTCTCTTTCTCCTTTTTAAATGTATATGCTAACCATCTTCCTAGTTTATTGGCATTTTCAAATTTTTTTAATTTGTTGTGCCAATTTTTTTCCATTAAATTTAATTTGTGCTGTATTACATATATGTAGTACATATATGTAAATATATACATATGATGTACATATCGATTTTACAGAAGACAATGTTGAAAAAGCACTATGCAATCTAAAACCATCTCTATCTATTGGACCAAATGGAATATGTGCCTATTTCTTAAAAAAGCTATCCACTGCCATAGCCAAACCTCTAAGCATAATCTTTGAGAAATCTTTCAGGACCAGCTCCTTGCCTAACCTATGGTCACAAGCCATGGTCATCCCCATCTTCAAAAAGAGAGACCCCAGCCTAGTTGAAAATTACAGACCAATGTCTTTATGCTGCATCACCTGTAAAGTCATGGAATCAATTATTAACCAATCCATTATCCTCCACTTAGAGACAAACAATCTACTCTCTAATAAACAATTTGGTTTCAGAAAAAAACTATCCTGTTATCTGCAAATCTTACACTGCAAAAACATATGGACTACACAACTCGATCAGGGCAAAGCAATAGATGCAATCTACATAGACTTCTGTAAAGCCTTTGATTCAATGGTACACGACAAATTACTCCTAAAACTAAAATCTTATGGTATCTCTGGACACCTGCATAACTGGATAGAAACATTCCTGTCAAACAGACAACAAATGGTCAAAATTGGGAGTGTCCTATCAAATTCTGTACCTGTCAACAGTGGTGTCCCCCAAGGCAGTGTTCTAGGACCAACTCTCTTCATACTCTACATAAATGACCTCTGTGATCATATCAACTGCGTTCTCTTTGCTGATGATGTAAAGCTATTCAACACCACAGGCAATACTGCTACCCTTCAAAAAGACCTTGACTATGTGTCAGAATGGTCAAAGAAATGGCAACTTCAAATCTCAACAAATAAATGCTCTGTCCTACATATTGGCAAAAAAAATCAGAAAATAAAATACAGGCTGAATAGTCAAGACCTTGTTGATGATGCAAACTCTGTCAAGGATCTTGGAGTACTCATCTCTAATGATCTAAGTGCTAGAGCCCACTGTAACTACATAGCCAAAAAGGCGTGAAGAGTTGTTAACCTAATCTTATGTAGCTTTTTCTCTGGTAATATTACACTAATAACTAGAGCATACAAACCATTTGCTAGACCAATACTCGAATACAGCTCATCAGTCTGTAACCCACATTACGTATCTGATATTAACACAGTTGAGAAAGTCCAGAAATATTTCACAAGAAGAGTTCTCCACTCCTCTACTCATTGCAGAATACCTTATGCCACCAGACTCGAAATTCTAGAGCTAGAAAATCTAGAACTACGCCGCCTTCAGTCCGATCTAAGCATAGTATATAAAATCATACATTGCAATGTCCTACCTGTCAATGAATACTTCAGCTTCAACCATAACAACACAAAAACAAACAATAGATACAAACTCAAGGTTAATCACACCAAACTTGATTGCAGGAAATACGACTTCATCAACAGAGTGGTTAATGTCTGGAATACTCTACCTGACTCTGTGGTTTCTTCCCCAAACCCCGAAAACTTTAACCTTAGACTTTCTATTATTGACCTCACCCCTTTCCTAAGAGGTTTGTAGGGGGCATGCATAAGCGCACCAACATGCCTACCATCCCTGTCCTATTTCATGTATTCATAGCTATGTTTATACTTATACCATTTTTTCTTATATGTATCCATTTCATGTATTCATAGCTATGTTTATACTTATACCTGTTATCTTATAATCGCTTGACAAAATAAAAAAAAATTGAAATATTGTTTGGCACCTATATTGTTATCAATAGCATCTGTTTCTGATTGATCATTACCTCCACCATCAGGATTGATTGGGAAGAAGACACATTCTTGATATGAATTAGTAATGGCCTTGGTTAAAGAAAAGTATAAGATACATTACACTGAAATGGTGACATTGATCAGAGTTAGGCTATTTCCTTGATCCAGTAAATCTTACCTGGTTTTTAAACTGAGCCTGAATTTCCTGAGAATATTTAGAGCTTAAGTCTTCCAGAGATTTCTTGTATTCTCTGTTAGTAACTTTCACCTGAGCTTCGACAGTAATGGTCACCTTTACTAAAAGAGAGGGAAAGAGATATTCATATGAACTTCAACAAGTGACTTCCCTGTAAAGTAATTCTACAATGTGACAGGCAAGAGGTGAATGTATTCCCATTCTCCAACATGCTTTCAAATGCCTAAATCCAAAGATCGTCATCTGGTTGGAAAACCCATTTTTGATTTACTGATACATTTTTAAATTCAGAATAGTGTTGGAGGAGACCTTGGAGGTCTTCGAGTCCAACACTCCTGCTCAACTGGAGACCCTCTACCATTTCAGGCTCTCAAGTCTCTTCTTAAAAACCTCTAGTGTTGACATGCCCACAACTTCCAAGGGCAAGCTGTTCCATTGGTTAATTGTTTTCACTGTTAAGAAGTTTCTTTCAGGTTGCTTCTCTCCTTGATTAGTTTCCATCCATTGTTTCTTGTCCTGTCCTTTGGTGCTTTGGAAAATAAGTTGATTCCCCCTTCTTTGTGGCAGCCCCTCAAATACTGGAATATTGCTGTCACCCCTAGTCCTTTTTTTCTAGATCAAGGGTCCCTAATCCCTAGTCCATGGACCTGCAGCAGGCCACAAACAAATAAAGCCTCATCAGTGGGATGCAGGCAGCATGTAAAATTACGTGCCTTCTGGTCTGCGGAAAAACCTCCCTCCACAGAACCAGTCCCTGGTACCCAAAAAGTTAAGAATCAGTGCTATAGACTAGTCATACCCAAATCCTGCAATTGTTTTTGTCTCCATGCCTTAGAATAATATACTTTGCTCTTCTCTGCACTTTTTTAAAAGTCTCTTTTAATAATGTGGTGATCAAAACTGGATGCAGGACAGGGGTGGGATTCAAAATTTTTAACAACTGGTTCTGTGGGCGTGGCTTAGGTGGTGGGCGTGGGTTGGTGGTCATGTGACTGGGTGGATATGGCTTGGTGGTCATGTTATTGGCTGGGTGTGGCCAACTCAATATCACTCACATTGAGGCACGCATCTCCTCACCTGGCCTCTCATGACTGTGAGGATGCTGCAACAGTCGTAAGTGTGAAAAAGGGTCATAAGTCACTTTTTTCAGTGCCATTGTAACTTTGAATGGTCACTCCACACAAGCAAAGTACCAGCAAAGGAGGGGAAAAAAAACTCCAGAGAAGTTCCAGAGACAGGAAGTCTAGTCCTGCCAAGAATGTAATAAGGGTTAATGGAGAGGCAGTTTCTGTAAGCAACACCTGAATGTTTCTTTCCTGCCTTCGTTACAGGATTAGGCCAGGAATTTCTTCTAACAACCGGTTCTCCGAACTGCTTAGAATGTTAACAACCGGTTCTAGCAAATAGGTGCGAACTGGTAGAATCCCAACCCTGATGCAGGAGTAGCCTTACTAAGATTTTATAAGGTGGTACTAATACTTCATGTAATTTTGATTCTATGCCTTTGTTTCAAAGGGGGGTTGCTGCCAGTTCATACTGGTTTGGGCGTACCAGATATTAAGATTCTGCAGAGTTCGGCAAACCAGCAAATTCCACAACTGGCTGGCCCCACCCCATCCCTCCCAGGAGTCCCCCACACCCTGTTTGGGCTTCCAGGGTAGTGCAGGAAGCTGTCCAGGCCCAAAATGAGGTGCAGATGGGCTGTGCCCCATTTTGGCTTCCTGTGTGGTGTAGGATAAAACTTGGGGAAGCTAATAGTTGGGAATATAGGCAAAATCTGAAGAAAAACAATTGGTAAGGAAAGTATTTTTTCAAAAAAGGAGTTGGCCAAAGAGAGTGCAGTCCAAATGTAAGGTGCAGAGAAACATACTGTCACAGAAGAAAATATGGCAATGGAATGAGAAAAGCTGTTTTTTAAAAAAAAGGGTTGCAAAGGATGCCCCCAGCCTCCCAGCTAATCTACACGGACAGTGGATTTGCTGGTTGGGTCTTCTTTTGTTGCCCTAGACAGGAGAACAGAGCTGGAATGCCGGTTAGTGAGGGAATTGAGGTTGTTCTGGGATGTAGTGGGAATGGGGATTTTGCATTAAGATTGTTCATAAGTAAGTAGGACTACTGAAAGCTGAATAACACTTCTATTGCTCTTATGTGAATATTTGTGTACCATTTTTATTGTTTTGTGTACCTCTTTTATTGTTCTTATTTAAGTATTAAATGCATAAAATAATAAACTACCTTTTGGTATATCTTCTTTTAGGCAAAGAAGTGACGTCGAGTTGGCCACGCCCACCCAGTCACATGCCCACCCAGCCATGCCCACCCAGCCAGTCATTAGGGCAGGGAATTGGTTGTGAATAAATTTGCAACCCACCACTGCTCTGTTTATACAACCAAGGATTGTATTAGCTTTTTTGGCTGTTGCCATACGCTGCTGACTCATATTTAGATGATCATGCACTCCAAGGTCTTTCTCACAGTTTCTCAGTTACTGTTTTTGAGCCAGGTCTCACCTAATCTGTACATATCTTTGCTTTTTCCTGCCTAAAAGGTTTGCTTTTTTCCTGAGTTTGTCTTCTGGGGTGTTGGCTATTCCTGCAAGTTTAGTGAAATCTGCAAATTTGATGAGTTTCCCCTTCTATTCATCATCTAAGTCATTTATGAAGATATTGAAGAATACTGGGCCTAAGACAGAAACTTGTGGTACCCCACTGCTTCCTTCCTTCCATGTAGATGTAGTACCATTAAGGATTATGTGCAGGGGTGGGATTCTACTGGTTCTGTCCAGTTCTATAGAACCCCTTGTTAACTTTCAGCAGTTCAGAGAACCAGTAGTTAGAAGCAATCTCTTTTTGTTTTCTTCCACCCTTATTACATTCTTGCCAAAATGCCTAGACTTCCTGTTTCTGGAGCTTCTGAGGCTTGGCTTTCTTAAAGGGGAAGGGTTGTTTAAAGATTTTTACACTGCTGTTGGGAGGAAATACTTCCCTGGACAATCAGCACTTTGAAGCAATAACTGAATAATGAAGCAGAGCTTTTAGTGGCAGGGAACCAAGATGAGTGCATTCAGCAAGATTTCTTGGCTAGATAGAAAGATTGACATTCATACCTGAGTTTACATACCCTTTCTGAGTTTTGGTTTAAAACTGGTTTTTGGTGAAGGTTAATTCTGTGCTTGGTGTGTTTATTGATGGGATAATTTTCCCTATTCAGCTTCAACAAGCAACAGCTACTGTTGTGATTTAATTATTTGTATTGTGTTTGAATTTTTTCCTGCCTCATGGTTTCTTTTTCTATCTGGGGAGGGGATCTTCCTCACTGCTTTAATACTATCTGGCACTGTCCTTTTGGGGTGTACTTCCAAGAGGCAGGATGCAAGCTTGGCACTGATTTTTTTACTGCCTTTCTGGGGGGCATGTGATCTTTCCTTAAATCTGGATGATTTCCTTAGAATATCTTGTGAGGTGAGTGAAACCAGCTGGTATTTTTAAGTGGTGCAAATGGATCTAAGGATTGCTTTTCCTGGATGTGCTTTTTCTAGAGAGCTTAAATGACCTCTCTGCTAAAGGGTTTCACTTTATGAGCAAGAGATGGCTGCTTGATAGTTATCACTGCATTTTAATGATTTTCATTCCTCAAGGTGCTCTGGCATCCTGCCTGATTTGTAACTCTGGCTTGCAGGTATTTTTAATCTAATGATTGGTATTTAGGGCAGCTTTTTGCAAGCAAAGAAGCTTTTTGTATTTTTGTACAGGTAATCCTTGACTTACAACAGTTCATTTAGTGACCATTCAAAGTTACAATGGCACTGAAAAAAAGGACTTATGACCATTTTTCACACTTATGACCATTGCAGCATCCCCACTGTCATGAGAAGCCAGGCGAGGAGAAGTGCCCCTTGACATGAGTGATGTTGAGTTGACCACGCCCACCCAGTCACATGACCACCAAGCCAGGCCCACCAACTAAGCCACGGCCACAGAACAGGATGTTAAAAAAACTGAATCCCACCCCGATTACGTGTTGAGTAACATTTGCCAGCCAGTTACCAATCCATCTGGTGGTGATGCTGTCTATTCCACATTTTTCTAGCTTACCCAGAAGTAGATTATGGTCTACTTTATTGAATGTTTTACTGAAATCTAAATATACTGTGTAATAGTGGTGAATATCCGTAGCTCGGGTGTAGGATGAGGATAGAAGTTCCTTCTCCGAATCTATGCATTGATTTCTGATTCTTTCATTACCAGGCTAGGTAACATCTTCAGCAGAATTTAGGAAATGTCAGTGTTGTTCTACTTATAAAGTCTTAGTGTGATCAGTAGGTCTTGTGATGAGAAGGTCACATCAGGTAAGGGGTCTTATATACTAAGCATACTATAAGTTACTATAAGTATACTATGTCCACAGTATTTCACTGCTCTATTAATTTAGTCATTTTGTCACAGAATGAAATAAGATTGGTTTGGAATGATCTGTTTTTAATAATCCTGTGCTAATACTAGGTTTTTTTTTGTTTTTTGCATTTTGAGGCAATCTCCAAATCTCACCTCCATGATTCTCCTTAGATGAAAAAACTTTATTCAGCATAGGACTGAGATACCTTCTCAGCTATTCGTGAGAGCTCTCGGCCATTTGGGGGAAAACATTAGATCCAAATTAATCACTTTTGCTTGGAGCTGCCAAATTACAAGCCTCTCTGAACCCAGAGAGAACTGGAAACGGAGAGCTATCTATTTCTCTACTGGTTCCTGGTTTACTTGCACTATAAAGGAGCTTCTATTAAGCCACATTTCTTCCATGTACAATCTCCTTATTCTAGTATGATAATCCAACATATCTGGAAGCAACAACTTGTTTTTGGCTGCCCTCAGGAAAAAGTAATCACGTTCTCCCTGATTGTACTTACATTCAGTGACTGGAATTGCATCCACGAGGAACTCACACTTGGGTCCGTAGAATAAATCTTCATTACAGATGCACTTGATTCCATCATAGATTCCACCATGGAGGCATATCTCTGGAACAGAGAAGTCCACTTATACAGATGTAATTTGAAAGTAACAATCAATGCAGCAATTTACATAGAAATATAATTCTTTATCACAGTATGCATGTATTAAAAATAAACAATGTAGCAGATAAATGAAGTGAGCTTACATGCGTTCACATGATGCCAACTTGCTCCTCACTCTTTCAGCCCTAATGTAACATTAGCTGACAGGAAGGGTGAGAAGCTGATCATTTTAAAGCAATGAAGTAGAAAATGAAACCAAGGCAATTAAGAATTTTTTTATTTTTTTAAAAGAAGTTCTTGCCACTTTTTTCCTTAGAAAAACATTCTCTTCATCATTTTTAAACATTTTTTGATGTTCTGAATCAGTACTGACTTTCCTTTCTTAAGATGCAAACACTGCAATGCAATTATTCCAATAAGTACAAAAATATTAATCATTAACAGTTTCTCCAAAGAACATTGGAGAGGGAGTTCTGCATAACAGGCCTCCTTCAAATCAAAATTTGGCAAGACCAAATTAGAAAAAATTATTCTGTGAATATTAAATAATCTGCACAAACGTATTAATAATTAGTGCTCCCTTACTCTAGACCTTGGCACAAGGCAATCATGCCACAAAGGAGAGGTCCAATCTCCCAACCCCCTAGAACAGATAGGAGCTTCCTATGGTCTCTCAGCTGCTGCTGAAATATCACTCTTAGCCACCAAAGACAGGACGCCCCAGTAGTAAGAGACAAGGGGGCAGCCATTCTACAGGGAAAGCCGCAAATATCACCGCCAGATTATGGAAGGAGAATAACCTCATATGATTACGCTTCGGTCACAGGAACATGTACAAGGCACTATGTCAATGGTGTTATTTTAGATAGAAATGTGATGAATAGAGGCTAATCCCATTCATACTATAAGCCCTAAATTGAATCCATTCTAAAAAAATTAGAAGACCCAGGCTGTGCTACAAACAACTGGTCACCATAACTTGATAACAGGAAAGGAAAATATTGTCATGAATTTTGAAAAATTTAAAATAGGAATGACCAAACATACAGAAAAAAAAAATTGATACTCACCACGTGTGGTAGTTCTGACAGTACTCCTGGCAGTAGAAGTTTTGGTAGTGGAAGTGCTGATAGTACTTTTGGCAGTAGAGGTTTTGATAGTTGAAAGGCTGCTAGTAGTCTTGGCAGCAGTAGTTTGGCTGGTGGTAGGGCCGTTGCTAATCTTGGGAGAAGACATTTGGCTGGTGGAAGGGCCGGTGGTACTCTTTGCAGTAGTAGTTTGAGTAATGGAAGGGCTGCTGGTACTCTTGGAAGAAGTAATTTTGGTAGAGGAAGAGCTGCTAGAACTCTTGGCAATAGTAGCCTGGCTGGTGGAAGGGATGCTAGTACTCTTGGAAGTAGTAGTTTGGGTGGTGGAAGGGCTGCTAGTCCACTCAGCAAAAGTACTTTGGGTGATGGAATGGCTGCTAGTAAACTCAGCAGTAGTAGTTTGGGTATTGGAAGTGCTGCTACTACTCTCGGCAGTAGTAGTTTGGAGGGTAGAAGGACTGTTAATTCTATCGGCAGTAGTAGTTTGGGAGATGGAAGGACTCCTAGTACTCTTGGCAGCAGTAGTTTGGCTGGTGGATGGGCCGCTGGTACTCCTGGAAAGATTAATTTGAGTGGTGGAAGGACTGCTAGTACTCTTGGTAGTTATAGCTTTGGTAGAGGAAGTTCTGGTTGAACTCTTGGCAGTCTTAGCTTGGGAGGTGGAGGGGCTGCTAGAACTCTTGGCTGTAGTAGTTTTGGTGGTGGAAGGGCTGGTAGTACTCTTGGCAATAGTAGGTTGGGTGGTGATATGGCCGCTGGTACTCTTCACAGCAGTGGTTTCACTGATGGAAGGGCTGCTAGAACTCTTGGCAGTAGAAGTTTGGGTGTTGGAAGTGCTGCTACTACTCTCGGCAGTAGTAGTTTGGGAGGTGGAACTGGTACTAGTATTGTCGGCAGTAGTAGATTGGCTGGTGGAAGGTCTGCTAGTACTCTTGGCAGAAGTAGTTTTGGTAGCGGAAGGGGTGCTAGAAGTCTCAGCAGTAGTAGTTTGGATGGTGGAAGGACTGCTAGTTCTGTTGGCAGTAGTAGTTTCGCTGATGGAAGTGCTGTTAGCATTCTTGGCAGTAGTTGGTACTCTGGTGGAAAAGCTGCTGGTACTCTTGGCACCAGACATTTGGCTGGTGGACAGGCCACTGGTACTCCTGGCAGCAGGAGTTTGGGTGGTGGAAGGGCTGCTATTGCTTTCAGCAGTAGTACTTTGAGTGGTGGAAGGACTGCTATTACTCTCGGCAGTAGTACGTTCGCTGGTGTAAGGGCCGTTAGTGGTCTTGGCAGTAGTAAGTTGGCTGGTGGAAGGG